CAGTTAAAATTTTTAAAATTTATCATTTCTAAGTGATGTATAAAATCTAAAGAACACCATCTATATCCCTGGAGGGGGGGAGGGAAGAAATTTTTTTTAATTATGTAAAGTTAGTGACAATATATTTTTCTTAGGACAATTATACATTACAGTTGCACTCATGCTAAAATAAGCCTAATTCAATCTTACCTTAAAAAGCTTATTTAATATGCACATAATAGAGACAAATTACACTAGTCTGTAGATCCATAAACTGGGGCATAAAAGTAATTTTTATGAAAGCAAAAAGCCTAAACTACAATGTAGAAGGACAAGGTTCACTTTGGGCATTTAGCTCTACAGCTTGTAGTATTTCAGACTATCAAGCTTTTCAAATTCCATTTTTAATTTTAATCCTAAATTAAAATATTTTCAGTAAGCAAACGAAAACTATTCTCTTGATGCTCATCAAAAATTAGTTTTTCTTAGTAAGCACAGGGCATTGTTTCTAAAATCTCTATGAAATCTGCTATAATTACAAAACAGATTCCAAGACTCAATTTGTACCATACATTTTTAAACTTCTAGCAGCAATTTTCTACTGTTTTGTTATGTCTCACTTCTGAGCAGAATTTGGGGCAGCATGTTTGAAGAAATCAAATAGCCTCTTCAGTTACATCATCATTCTGTACCTCCATTCTGGGACTTTTTTTCCTGCCAGGACCATGCACTCAACATACTAGTATTTTTTTAAAGTTATACTGCATACCAATGAGCAGAAAACTTTTCGGGCTCCAACTTGCCTTTAAACTAAGACTCCCACCATCAAGGTTGCACTTAATTCTATACCACTTCTAGAATCATCCTAACTCAATGAATAAGAATCTAATAAACAACACTGTCCAGTTATAGTTATAGTTAAAGTTATAGTTATAGTTAAAGTCTTTACATAATGATCAAAATTCAGTGATAAATTTGATGAAGGGCTTGACCTGGCTGCATGCCACAGCACATCAGTAAAGAAGTCAAGCATATAAAATTATAATTCTTATTCTAATCACTAAAATAATATTTGGGAAGGCTAATAGTTTGACACATTGATTGGTAAAAATATTTTTAAATGTGCTATACCCTCTAATCAAATCAATGTAATGGAAAATAAGAAACTGGCTTAAGACTTCGAATTCCATTATAATATTGTGAAAACATATTGGATTTGGATCCAAAACGATGTATGGTTTTGGCAGCCTTTGACTTTCATGCTACTATTATATTGATGAAACAGACATCAATTTAATTTTGTCTCAAAGTTCCGAACTAAAACCAATTTGCTGGCATTTCCAATAACTCAATGATACAGTTTAACTTACAGGAAGACCCTAAATTAACAGAATTTGTGTTGTCACCTACTAGAATTTCCTGTCAAGAATTTTAAGAGAACAGAAAAAGGGTCAAGATAATAGACACATTACCACCTCTCTCATCCTTTGCCATAATTCAAAAGCTTAACGAAAACCCACGATTAAAATTTAAGACAAATGCAAATATAGATCACTGCCTTCACAACACTCTT